CAAAGTCTTTTTTCCTATTACTTATAGTTCTCAAGCTATAATGTAATAATCTGCTAGAGAGAATTTTGCCAGTGGTAGGGACTTAACATACTTACTGCATGTAAAGTATACTAAACTAATAAGTTTTAGATGAAGCATGGTGGCACAAACTGACAGACCCAGCTACTCACTTTGGGCGTGAAAGTCAGTGGTTTAATGTGTTTGAGGCCCTGGGTTCAATCTTTTTTTAGAAACACTGGGGAGAGGGCTGGGGGTAAACCTGGGGACAAAATGAATTCCTGGAATGACAATGGCCCTAAGTTCTAGCCTGAGCACTAAAAACTTATTTTAAAACAAAACCAACCACCCAGAGAAATGATTATTCTGATTATAGGAGATGGAAATAGGGCCTAAGACACCTGTATTTAACAAGTGATCAAATGTCTACATTTTTTGCTGGGAATGGGGACACAAACACCTTGGACACAAGGTTGGCTAAAACTGTCCCTCAGAATACCCCTACCCTTGGAAAAGAGCAAAGAACACTCAATGGGCCACTGGGCAACTATCCCAGAGGCCTGGGCTCTGTTCTCAGTATCTAGTTACCTTCCTCTCATTTAACTGCTTCCACCTCAGACAGCTAAGGGCCATAGCATGAAAACTACCGGGGTCAAGAGAGATGGTTCAGCGGGTGTAGGGCTTGCTGCACAAGCATGCGGCCTTGTGTATAGATCCCTAACACACCCCAAAGAGGCAGGGTACAACTGCGTATCTGTAACCTTGGTGTTGGGGGACAGACATAGGCAGATCCTGGGGATTTACTGGCCTCCTGTCTAGTCAAAACTCCAGGTCCAATAAGAGACCTCATCACAAAAAAATAACATAAGTTATTGAGCAAGACACTTGACATTGATCTATGGCCTCTATATGTAGGTTCATATACATGCATATGAACACAGCACACTCATACAAAGCATGTTATCATTAAGTAAACCTTTTAAATCTTGAAAATGGCTTTAAACAACTCAGGCTCATGGACTGTGACACCACTACCTTCTCTAGGTATGTCTGGTCTGACAGCAAATCTACCAAAGATCCATTTTTAAACTAGAGTCAGAGCTTTAAATGGCTCACAAGTTTATTACCAAATATGGTTGGCTGACTAGTTTACAGTCTGTGCTGCTGAGAGTATACTGCCCTGTGTGCAACCAGTCAACTCTCCTGTGTCTGCTCTCAGGGAACCAAGAGTATTGGTTGAGATTGATGTTCCACTCTCTCACCCTCCCCTTTCAAAGGAGGATTAGCCCTCTGCCGCCTCCTCTTACAAAATGTCTACGAACCTATTCGAAGCTTCTGAGCTAAGGGCACAGCCTCCCCCTATTTCACACAAGGTGACCTATTCCTCCCAGTTTGTGGCACAAATATACCAATCCATTCCAGAGTCCCAGAGGAGCTCCAGCCCTGCCATGAAAATGGGCCTTCTTGGAGTCCAACTGTGTAGTAAGAAACCTCTCCACATCTATTCCCACACTTGCAGAATGGAAGAAGAGATCCTTTTTTTACATCAGTTTTCTGTGTTAGCCATTAAGCTCTTTGGGTACAATTTCCTACAAATCATGAGGGTAGACAACTGGGTGGCATCTCTGTCAATCGGTTAGCTTTTTCTGAGAAGATAAGCAGGTCACAGAGAAATCTTCTATGTTGTATTGGAACTGACTAAACCACCCCAGAGACCAAGTCCCACAGGCACAATGCTTATCTCTGACATGGAAAGTTCAGAGATTATACAGAGCAAACTGGCAATGGATGATTACTTGCACTAACACTGGTTATTCCTTAGCTATTTATGTGACATCCAAGCTTCACCACACATGAGACTAGACTGCTCACGAACAGCTGACATTTATCTTAAAAACATAAAAGTCCTTGGGGGCTAGAGACATGGTTCAGAGGTTAGGAGCATTGGCTATTCTTCCAGGGATCCTGAGTTCAATTCCCAGCAACCACGTGGTGGCTCACAACCATCTTTAGTGGGATCAGATGCCCTCTTCTAGTATGCAGGTGTACATGAAGACATAACACTTGTATACATAAAATAAATCTTAGAAAAGCTTTTTCTTCATAATTGGAAAAGACCTTTGACTTACAAAAGGGCATTAAATGATGTAACGTTTTACTGAAAGCTGGCTGGCATAAAATATATCAGAATCCATACATGTTATTTTTAGAAGTAGACCACTTCTCAAAAGACAGAAGCTTAAAACATGCACACGTGGAAACTGGACATACAAATCAGAGGTCCAACAGGAACAAACCATTCTTGGTTTAAATGAGTCTTTCAAGCCTCATAGCTGGCCACATCATGAAGAGTGCCAAAGCACCTCAGCATCATAAACAGTTTGACCATGGTTTTGAAGGTCCAAGATCAGACATACCCAATTAATAATGGTTATTTTGGTTTGCGGTCCTGCTCCCCAAACCAGATGAGTAAACCCAGGGCCGCATGCATGCTAGGCAAACATTTCACCTGAACTGGAACACCAGTCCCAAGGGTTGTTCTTTGTTTTTTTCTTTCCCAAACACCTTTGATCTTCCCAACTTCCTGCTATGAATAACAGTTAAGATGCTTAATAATGGGATTCCCTCCATTTAAAGAGGAAGGCACAGACAGGCCTTTAATCCTGCTCCTCTAAAAGATGGGTATAGCCAAATCCTTAAATGTGAGCACTGTTTTAGAAGGCCAAGTTCGTACTCTGGCGCTGGGATCAAACCCAGGCATACTAAACAGGTGCTGCCACCAACCCTAACACATCCTCAAGCTCCAAAGTTCATTTTTATCAAGAGTAAATAATCTTACAGGTAAGAAAAACAAAATCATTAAAAAAGAACTTCAGCTGAAATAAATACCTGCAGTTTTAAATGAACAAATACAGCAGTCATGATGGTGTACGCCTACAATCCAAGCACTTGAGAGGCTGAGGCATGATGGCTGCTGCTGCATTTGAGGCCAGCCAGGACTACACCGCAAGACTTTTGTCTCAAAAACCAGAACCAGGGGTCGGGGGTGGTAACAGGAAGAGAATGAGAGAAAAAAAGAAAAGAAAACAGGCAAAAGTAAATCATAAGCAAAGACAAAGTAGGCAAAGGAACAGCATTGTTACTCTAGTGGCACATGGTACACCACATCCACTCTCCCACCTATTCTGAGAAAATATGAGGAAAAGTCTGTGTTCAAAAGTTGAAATATGCTACAAAGGCATCAAGAGTTGGGAAATCCTTGTCATGATCAAAACTTTACCCAAAGAGTAAAAACTAGCTTTACAGTGTATGCACAAGTAACTTCCTGTAGATTTTGAGAAGCTGAAGAATTATTGAGATAGGAAAGATAAGATTCTCATTATAATGAGTCAAGACCAAACACCAGGAGCACTGTTAGGAACCAGGAGATGCTCCTGACACCAAGTGCCTTTGCCTGGTTCTTTCTGGCATTTCTGCTTAAGATTCACTCAGATTCCCAACCTTTCCACGGGCAGCCCACTCTGTTGTCCCTTAGGCTCTGGGCAGATGCTGGGAGTGTGTGTTTGTGTGCATTTTCTGTCCTTCAATTAAGAAATCTACTGAATGAGCTAGCAATTTGAGAACTGGGTTATCTTAGCTAGGCTTTGGTAGTTAAAATCTTGCCTGTCTTATTAGAATTATATGTATTTCTCTATTAATGAATTGGTTTGGAAAGACTGTGTATCTATTAATTGCTCATGGTACATAAAAATATATTATTTTTTTGAAAATTATCCTTTAACTTGTTAAAAGGTTACAGACAATGAGGACCTACTCTAGGGCAAAGTTTAAAGACCTCCTCTAGGGTAAAGTTTAAAGATCTCTTAAAAAGCAAATTTAAGCAAAAAACACCTAAGGAATAAGGTGGACTTGGGGAAGGAACAGGCCACAGCAAAGGCAAGTGTGCACATAGGCTACTGTCCAGTGTTCTAAAAAACAGAGGATCAGCATTTCAAACCAAGAAGCAGATTTTCAAAATGAGAGGTGGCTTGCAGAAACTTTCTATTAGAAAGAGCAAGACACCCACATGAAGCGCTCACTGTTGGACCAAAAGCTCTGCTTACCTTGCCAGGTTGTGTGCAGAACTCGGCACTTCGAGATAAAGTATGAGTGTGACAGGAGGGACAAAGCTCTCCAGTGTGGTGCAAGACTGAAGATGGCAAAACACTGCAAATTACTACTTTTATGAACATTAGTCCTTGCCATTAACAAATACATATGCTAACAGGGAATAAATACCGAACTCATCTTGAAGAATGGTCTCTCATACAGAAAACTACAATGGCAGACAAGGGTGAACCATACATATTTCACATCAAACTATTAAAATAAAGCATAGGGATTTAGGCCTTTTGCCATTTTCAGTACAAGTATCTTTGAGTATTCTTAATTTAAGAGAGAATTTTTGCTTCTATTTTTAATGTTAACAAATATAGAAAATATTCATGACCAGCTTCTTCAGAAAGCAGTCTCATTTCTGGACAAAGACTCCAGGCGAGCGGAACAGCTTTACAACTTAACTTACTATTAGGGCTCATTCTCCAGGCATGCCTTTACCTACATCACAGCACCATCAACATCTGTCAGTGCTCCACATTGCTTATCAGTCTTTGAGAAGAATTTAAGTCAAACACAACATCAAAGCACACAGCAGCCATGCTGGGTGTTTAAAGGAAACCTGTAGTGACTAATTTACTTCCTTTGGAAACATTTTCCAAGAATGGCTACAACTCTGGTCATAGGAAGGAGATTCCAAGCTCTCTCGGGTGGAAGAAAGATCTCAACCTCTTTCTAATAGGGATCTTCTTCCAAGGACTAGAAAACTGGTAATTCTCTCAATTTTCCTATGTATCTTAAATCTTTACTGAAACACAAGAGGCACTTTTATCAAGTGTAGGTAGCATCTACAATTACAAGGTCACATTTGCTAAACAAAATAATAACACTAGCTTTTAACAGGCATTATTTACAAGGATTTTTCCCTTTAATATAAAAAAGTATAACTACAGCAGTCCAATGTACAAATACAAAAAAAGTTATCATACTAAAAAAAATGTACCATAATACTGTACATACAAAAACTGTTCAACAGAATGATTTAAATATATCTGTTCTTCTCTGGATCTGGAAGACACAATGTAAAGTTCTGCAACTGTATTATTGCTGAGAACATGTGCCTGGAACACTGTGTTTCCCTCTCCCCACTCATCACAGCTCCACCTTCAGAGTCCCCTGAGTTTGGATCATGAGCCAACAGCATCCCTGAAGATAACCAGAGCCAAATGTTTACTCAATGGAAGTCATTATTCATCGAGTTGCTGCTTACCATAAACTATGAAAACCCAAGTTTTAAGCCCAACCAAGATTAAATCCAGACAGAGGTCTTCCCATCCCCTGATTTACTACTAATACTGCTTTTGTTCGACCCAGATTTGGACCCCACTTTGGCCTTTTTTTCCCGAGGACCATGGGGGTTGTTTTGGTGATGGTAGGCCTGGATTGCTAGATCCAAGCGTTCCTGAGCCATCCTGATCTCCCGTTGCAGAGTCTCCAGATCAGCTGGGAGGTGCTCCTCGTGGCTGCCGTACTGCTGTTCCTGGGCGATATTGGCTTTGTTTTGCTTGTAGGCAATCTTAGCATTGGACAACTCAGTGTACTGGATTTGATCTGGTTTGACAGCAATGTTATAGCCAGGGGGAGCAGATGGTGTATTCCAAGTGAAAGGATAATTATAAGCACCCGGATCGTCAAGCTCCCTCCTTTTACTGTTTAGTGAGTCTCGAATGGTCCCAAACCCTAAATGAAGCATCTCCCAAATGTTAAGCAGTAGGCAGAGGCCTGTAACACCATACATTATCAGGAGGAAGATGGTCTTTTCAGTGGGTCTAGAAATAAAGCAGTCTATCTTGTGAGGACAAGGAAGTCTGCTGCACACATAAAATGGGTGGACTTGAAAACCATACAGGAAATACTGTCCTATCAGAAAGCCCACCTCAAACACAGTTCTGGCCAGCAGCTGCAACACGTAGATTTTCATTAGCCCATCCTCCCGAATTCGTCGTCGGCCATCATGCTTAGGTTTTGGCTGGCTCTGCTCTTTATTTTCTTTCTCACTTTCTAACTCCATCTCTGGATACATCATAGGATCTTCTTCATGGTCCTCTTCCGTTTCTTCCAGAGCCCGGTGCTGCTTCCAACGCATGGCATAGGGCTTACTCCGAGCTGCCTTCTTGTCTGCTTCACCATGCTCCATTTTGGCAATCTTATGAATAGCATACCCCAGGTACATCACAGAGGGAGTTGCAACCAGGATGATCTGGAACACCCAGAAGCGCACGTGGGAGAGCGGTGCGAAGGCATCATAGCAGACATTCTCACAGCCTGGCTGCTCTGTGTTGCACACAAATTTGCTTTGCTCATCATAGTAGATGGACTCTCCTCCCACAGCAGTTAGGACAATTCGAAAGACAATCAGCACAGTGAGCCAGATCTTTCCTACAAATGTTGAATGGTTGTGGATCTCCTCTAGCAGACGTGTCAGGAAGCTCCAACTCATGGTGATGGAATTGGTTTGCCCTGGTATGTGGAAAAGTACCAAGCAGGGGGAAATCAACAAATGCTAAAAATAGTATTCTATTTTTGGTGCCTGGCCCCAAGAAATAATCAAACCTTAACAATGTAAATTTTAATTCATAGTATTTCTAGGGACTCACAGTTGAACAAACGTTAGAATTCAATCACACCTCACTCAAACAGCTTTAGGAGAGACAGCACACCTTACTCCATGTCTGGACACAGAAGGTCTTGTTCAATTTCCTAGCTTATTGAGATTTATTTCTCAGATGCAGAACATTGTGTTTTACATATATTAGTGTGTTATGGGACATCTAGACATTGTGTGATACACATAATAAAATAATGTACTTGGGCAGCTTTCTTGTCCAGCCACACAGTTACCACTGAGAGCATAAAAGGGACTCTTGGGCTAGACTCCATTGTGAAGAGGCAATTTACTAGAAAGCTTTAGTTTTAGACCAGCTAACAAAAGTGTTGAAGTAATTAAAGAAGTCAAGAGTGGTGACACATGCCTTTAATCCCAATACTTGAGAGGCAAAGGCAGGTGGATCTGAGTTCATGACCAGCCTGGTCTACAAAGTTTGTTCTAGGACAGCCAGAGATACATAGTGAGACCCTGTCTCAAAATTTTTTCAAAATTAATTAAAGAAGTACAGCTGTCAATAACTGGCAATAATGAACACTAACAGAGAAAGGAACCAAGGAATAACCCTGCTAGGCCACACAACAGAGCAAACTCTGGTTTTACTTTAAAAAGCCCACAATGAAAGATCTTATAACAAATATTGTCTTTTTAATGGTAGATATAAAAAAGTATGAGAGCAGCAAATCCAACCAGTAGGCTAGGCAAACCCACTAAAAAACATCGTATTTTTGTTCTTTTGAGACAAGGTCTCATTATGTAGTTCTGGCTGTCCTCAAACTCACAGAGATCCACCTCCACAGTGCTGGGATTAAAGCCATGCACCACCACACCTGGCTCTTATTTTTGATGTTTTTGTTTTCATTTTTTTTTTTTTTTTTGGTTTGTTTTTATTTTTCAGAGGGTCAAAGGCTGACTTTGAACTCAAGATCTTCCCACCTCAGCCTTAGAATGCTAGGAGTTCAGGTGTTTGCCAACATACACATCATCAAAAACAGCATTTTTTAAAGGGTAATTTTATCCCAAGATAGTCACATCTATGCCTAGAATCCGTGTCATATGTTAAACCCCAAATACAGCATATGACACAAAGTCTACTGGTGTTTTCAACCCTTCTTTCCTCTTCCACCATCACCACCAAGTAACTCCAAACTTACCTGTTATCCAGAACTTCTGTCACCCAAAACCTTCTTTCAAAAATGGTATTTTGCTTGTTACTTTCCAAAATTCTCTCTGGAAGGGAAAAAGAAAAGGGCAAGGTCATCAGCTTCCTCCCACAGAAAACAATGAATCACTAATGTGTCACTTTCAGGAAGAAACAAAGTTTTCTGTGTGCTACAGGGGTCACTCAGAATGAGATGGAAACAGGCTTGACTGTGAATACCACTCTTCTCCTCCCAAAATAAGTGACAGGAGAACTTAACAGTAACCTCCAAGTTTTTAACTCATCAGGCTCTGTGAAAACCTGACAGCTGGCTAGAGAGATGACTTAGTAGTTAAAAGCATGGGCTGTTCTTTCAGAGGATCTGGGTTCAAGTCTCAGCACCCACATGGCAGCTCACAATGGTCTGCAACTTTAGTTCCAGGGGATCCAATGTAATGTCCACTTTTGGCCTCTGCAGGCACCAGGAGTGTACATAGTACACATAGACACATACAGACAAAATGAGTAAAGTTAATTCAAAACTAAGAAAATCTAATAGAGAAATAAGTAACTTATGAAAATTCAAAACTGCTAGGCATGGTAGTTTATACCTTTAATCCCAGCATTTGGAAAAGGAAAGCAGAGGCAGGCAGATCCCTTACAATTCCAGACCAACCAGTCTCACTTTTAACCAAGTGAGACTCTGGCTAAAAACAAACAAAAACATCAGCATCACAAGGTTAAAGCAGGCTAACAACAGCCCTGCCTCTGTCGCAGCCAACACTTCTCACTAGGATTTGAGCAGTCAAGTAGGAGCAAGCTGTTCAGCTGAAACACCCAACAGCTGGCTCAGTTACTGGAACACTAGTCTCCACAGGAGGTGATTTACAGATCCAATGGCTCACAAAGTCAGAGAAAGAAAACACCTGGACTGTGATTAAAACCAAAACAAAGTGAGCTTGAAAAACAAAACAATGTGAATTTCAGGCCAGACAGTCCAGGGTCCAGACAGGTCTCCACAGCAAGCTCCAGGTTAGCTGGCTACATAGTTGAGTCCCTGCCTGAAGACAACAAAACAACAACAGAACAAACCAATGTAGGGGAATTTAGTGACTGTCCATTATCAAGCTCTGTAACTCTGAAAAGCTAGGGTCAAAAGTCATCCATTGGCACCAACTTTGTTCACCACTACCATTTTACTTAACAAATTTAAAACAATTGCTGAGGCTGGGCCTTCTGACCCATAACCTTTAATCTCAGAACTCAGAAGGCAGAGGCAGACAGATCTCTGCCTTTGAGGTCAGCCTGGTTTATTTAGTGCAGCCAGGGCTGCAAAGTGAGACAGTCTCAAAAGCAAAAATCCCTGAATGTTCACAGTAATTTAACTGGATAAGCCAGGTGGTGTGGCACACACCTTTTGATCCCAGCACTCACGAGGCAGATGCAGGCCAGCCTGATCTACAGAGCGAGTGCCAGGACAGCCAGGATTGTTACACAGAGAAACCCTATTTCGAAAAACAAAACAAAAAAAGATATAGGGGAAAAACTTAAAAGAAAAAAGCTAAAATATTAGTCAAAATTTATACGTGAAACACTGACACACAAAGCCAAACTCGTGGCATGGCCTGTTATCTCTGAACTCAAGAGGTAGAATGATAGAGTTCAGGACTGGCGGCTGGAGAGCTGGTGCAGTGGTTTAGACAGATGCTGTTTTCACAGAGGGCTTAATTTGCAGTCTCCACATAGTGGCTCACAACCATCTGCACCTTCAGTTCCAGAGCAATCAACACCCTCTTCTGGCCTCCCCTGGCACCATGCATGCATGCTGTGTAACAACATGTAAGCACACAAAACACATACACATAAAATAAACAGACAAACAAAGAATTCAGAATTAGAACCCTGAATGCCTTTAATCCCAGCACTTGAGAGGTTCACAGCCAGCCTAGTCTTCATAGTGAGTTCCAGGACAGCTAGAGCTGCATAGAGGGACCCTGCCTGAAAAAGAAGTGGTGGGGGTGGTTAGGACTAGCCTGGGCTACACAGGAAACCCTTGAAGAATCAAGAGGCAGGTGGTACTAAAGTTATGAGCCAGACCACTGCCTGCCTTCTTGCAGCTCACTCAATAAACAGTTTTTTTGTTTTGTTTTGTTAAAAAAAAAAAAAAAAAAGGGAATCTGACACAAAAAGATGTCACCATACAAAGGGCTGGGTATGGTGGCTCAAGCCTAGAACCCCAGCTCTTGGGAAGTAGAAGCAGGCAGGTCAGGTATTCAAGGCTGGCTTGGGCCACATGGACCCTGTCTCAAAAACAAAAACATAATCCCTCACACAACAATATACAATGTTCACAATGGTGTACATCCATAAATTCCTCAGATTTTCCTGAAACATCACATTTAAAGCATTTCCCCAAAACCTGAAATTCAATTTATTCCCAAAAAGCCAAAGCGAAGAAATGTTGCTGCTAATTACTTACAGAAGTCTTTTTTGCTTGTTTTTTGAGACAGGGCATCACTATGTAACTTTGGGATTTAGGTGTGAGCCACCATTGCTTGGCCAAATTTCATTTTTGTTTTTCTCTCTCCTTCCCAAGACAGGGTTCTTTTGTGTAGCCTTGGCTGTCCTGGAACTAGCTCTGCAGACTAGGCTGGCCTCAAACTCACAGAGATCTGCCTGCCTCTGCCTCCCAAGTGCTGGGATCAAAGGCATGAGCCAACACTGCCTGGAAAAATTTCAGGTTATTTTAAAATGTTTGTTTTTATTATTTTTAATTATATATGTGGTAGTACACATATTTGTGGTATCCGTGGAAGCCAAATGCAGTCATATCTCCCTAGAGCTGGAGTGACAAAAATACTGGGAACCTAACTCAGAGTCCCTAAAAGAATAGTACTGTTAACTGTTGAGCACTTCTCCAGCCCCCAACGCCCAACTTTTTATATGGGTACTCACATTTTCATGTTTGTGACAAGGGCTTTTATCTACATGAGCCATCTCTGCAGCCTAAGTAAGCCTCAATCTCATAGATCTGCCTTTCTCTGCCTCTCAAGTGCTGGGATCAAAGCAGTGCTCCACCACTACCTGCCTTGGACATTCTAATGAATAAGATTCCCAACAAGTGAGTTTTGAGGGGGAAGAGACAGTTAAACCATAGCAAAAAGAGTAACCTCAAGGATTTACAGCTATGAAAACATTTCTTAGAAGTTCTGCATTTCAGATAACCCAACTTTCTTTGGTGGAAGAAACTTGTAAAGTATGAAGCAGCCATTTTAATACATCCAAAATTTAGTCTTGTGCACTAATTAAACTGAAAGCTTAGAAATGCTGAACCAGGCTAAGTACTGAGGTTGCCGTTCAGTTGGTAGAGTGCTGGCCTAGTACACACAAAGCACTAATCTGGTCCCCAATACCACATAAGTGGGGCACAATGGCAACACACCTACAACTCAGCATTTAGGATGTGGAGGCAGAATTAAGAAGTAACTTTAAGTTCAATGCCGGCCTGGAAAGCAGAGGGTGAGAAAAGGGGAGACAGTGATAAACCACCCCAGCCTTACTCTCTATGAGCCACAGCATCCTATATTACATCCTGAAGTCTTTGCTGCAGGTCTCCCTATAATTTATGCTCTTGACTACAAAATGCCTGAAGAGAAGAAATCTTGGTACTTGGTCCTCTATAGATAGAATGCATACAAATTATTTCATCTTCTTAATTCTGTGGAGGCAAGAATAACCAACATTAAGAGAAACTATCACACAAATGATCTGGAGAGACAACTCAGAGGATAAGAACATCTCATTTCAATCCCCAGGACCCATATTGTGGCTCACAACTAGTTGTTTACTCCAATTCCAAGGAATCCAATGCCCTCTTCTGACCTCTGGGTGTTCCAGGCACACATACTACATTCACATGTATACATGTAGGCAAAACACATACTTATAAAAAGTAAATACTTTTATACATTAAAATGACATTATCTTACAAAGGAATAAATGAGTTTGCTTTGTTTTTGTTTTCTTTTTGCTATGGTTTGACTGTCTCTCCCCCTAAAACTCACATGAGGAGTCTTATTCATTAGAATGTCCAAGCTAGGTGGTGGTGGTGGTGGTGGTGGTGGTGGTGCACACCTTTGATCCCAGCACTTGGGAGGCAGAGGAAGATCTGAGAGTCAGGCTTATTTAGCACAGAGTTTAGAGCTTCCAGGACATGGTGCTAGCTTCTGATTGGTTCTAGTGAATGTCTGATGGTAGGTGGCACCCAGGCAGCAGGGACACAGGGCTCATGATCAGACTTTCATAGCTCCCTCTCCCCAGAATTCACTGCAAGAGACCAGCATTCCCTTCTGAGGTCACCATCCCAACAGCCCACATGCCTTCCACTAGGCCTGCTCTGTTCTGCTTTGGAGACAGGGTTTCTCCGTATAGGCCTGGCTGTCCTGGAACTCACTCTGTAGACCAGGCTGTCCTCTAACTCAGAGAACCACCTGTGTCTGACTCCCAATTGCTGGGACTAACGGCATGCACCACCACTGACCTGTTTGTAAACCTCATTTTAAAAATCAACCTGTTTCAGTATTTTAGTATCTCTTTCTATATTATGTGTTTTACTAATTCTAACCTCATAAAATGGGAGATGGACAGTTTTCTTTCGAAAATAAAGAAGCATGGGCTTCCAAAGGAACAACAGAAAGCAGAACCAACACTAATTAAAAAAAAAAAAATACTATAGCTCAAGGTGGTCCATAATTCAAAACAATTCATACACCCACACACATACTAAAGAAAATCATGTTTGCTTATATAACAGTTATTGGACAGAAACCAAATATGCTATTTTTATTCTATTTTCCAAGTAACTTAAGATATAAATCTACCTTGTCCTAGAAGTATTCTACCACTGAGCTACATTAGATCCAAAATTCGTACAATTTCCTCTTAGTTATACACCATTAGGATCAAGTAAAAAACTTTTCTGTTAAGTGACGTTCATAAGATTTTAGAAAATTAAGTATAAACCACATTAGTTGGGTTATCTTGGATGGTAGAGTCTATTACTGGGATCATCATAAACACGAGAAAGTGA